GTGTGTGTGTGTGTGTGTGTGTGTGTGTGTGTGTGTGTGTGTGTGTGTGTGTGTGTGTGTACATGAGAGAGAGAGAGAAAAAGAGAACACATACACAAGAGTGTGCACCAGGCTTATGGCAATTCAAGCATTAAATAATTTATTTTTTGCTCATCTTTAGTAAATAAGAGGTCTGATTCAAAGACAAAAAACCTCCGGGCCAGACACTCAGCTGGCGAAATTGGCATTGTGCTGTTGAAGTTGATGGAATTATGCTGATCGGCACCAGCTAAGGATCTTGCCTTCACCTTTTCCAGCTGGAGTGATGAAGGGAGATTATAGGGACATTTTTAAAAGGGAAAGAAGTTGGGCTTCCTGATGTTCAAAAGAGATGAGGAAAAGGAAGGAAAACAGCAAAAGACACCAATGGCAAAAGACACTGACATAATTCACACTGTATCTGGAAAATATTGTAAAAAAGAGTTCCTAATAAGAGATGTAACAGAGGCTACAGGCAAAAGACCTCCTGCATCATTATTACACAAGCATTCAACACCAAGATTGCAACCCATTGAGTAGGTGCTGTACATACGCATTGTAAGAGTTCCTGTGCCCAAAGAATTGACATTCTAAGTACCTTAGACAAAGGATAGGAGAGAGTGTGTGTTAATTATCTCCATTTTACAGGTGGGGAACTGAGGCACCCAGGGATTAGATCACTTGCATATGATCACATGGGGAGCCTGCGGAGGAACTGGTAACAGAATGTAGATCTCCCGAGTCCCAATCCTGAGTGTTAACCAAAAAACCCACCACTCCTCCTCCATCATCTAGCCCTATTTTCCCATCTCAATACAGGATTATGCACTGAAAAAGTAGGTCTCCCTGAATGGGACACCGCAGAGATGCTGCTAGATATAGTAAGGGTTGTGTCTATTTGGTTTTCTTTAATTTAGAGTCGGAACCCCACATTCCTAATATTCACTGTGGCACAGCCGTCTATATATCTCATCGAGGTTCCAAACCAATGCATGGATTTTCCCCAGCACTCAACGTTTTGGGTGCTAGGGATAAAGTAAGATTGGAATGCTGTTGCTTGATCTTTTTTAACCTTTAAAAACGTGCGTGAACACACTCATATTTAGAAAAAGTGGCCACATTTTACATTAGAAGTACAATTTAAGCATATAAGAGGTTAACGCATGATTAATAGATGTTTTAATCAATGGATAATCAATTATAGATAGTGAAAGTCCAGCAAGTCAGCAGATTGTTTGCTATACCCACGTCTTATAACCATCTAAACACATTCTACTAATATGCTTATAACATCTCTA